GCAGGGGGGGCGGGAAGGGACATGAGGGGGCCGATCAAGGCCCCTGTGGTGAGGGAAAGAGTGGGGCTAGGGCTGGGGCTGGAGCAGGTGCTGCCCAGCCAGGGTGGGGTGGGGCACGGGATGGAGCCGCAGCTCATCTGGGGGTCACAAGAGGTGGGGGCAGCTCCTGCTGCTGTGTGCCCCCAGATCTGTGCATGGGGCAGGGTGGGCTGCCACTGCAGGCTGGGGCCGGGGCTCTGCAGGGCTGCTCCCAGTGGGGGCTGGGCCAGGCTGTGCTTGGGATGGGGCGGGTTGCAGCTCTGGGAGCAGGGTTGGGGGGGCAATGGCAAATTTTGGGTGGCTGCAGTCTTCCCCACCTGTAACCTCCCTCCCAGTGCTGCTGCTGCTGCCTGCCCCTGGCTCAGCTTGCCAGGAAGAGCCTGGTGTAACCCCAGCCTGCAGTGGCACCCTGCCCTGCCCCACACAGATCAGGGGGGCACATGCCCCACATGCCCTCCTGGGGTGCACGCAGCAGTGGGAGCCACCTTCCTTCCTCACGCCCTCCAGACAAGCCATGGCTCCATCCTGTACCCTGCCCCACCCCAGCTGGGCAGTACCTGCCCCAGCTCCAGCCCCACTGCCTCCCTCACCCCAGGGGCCTCAATCTGCACCCCCACACACCCCTTCCCTTCCCCCTCCTCTTCCACCACAACAGACTTACCAGCAGGACACTGCTCTTCAAGCTATCCGGCCACGTATCGGAAATCGGATCAGTAGTGGCCGATATGCCTCCTTACAAATCAGATATCAGTATTAGCCCCGAAAATCTCTATTGGTGCACTCCTAATTAAAATGAAAAGATGTATTTTGTTTTGAGTTAGTCCAGCATTAGACACTGTGTACCTACAGTATTTTATTCCTTCATGGCCACCCAATGCTCTCATTTTCTCCTATGGGCTTGGCTGCCAGGCCTTCCTGTATTTTTCATGATGCTTGCAGTCTCACCTTTGCTACCTGGAGGGTCATAACAGTCATGTGACTGTGGATGCTGTATAGGAGAGAGGCCATGAGGCATCTGAACTACAAATCTCATAAGTCACCATAGGCAGACATGATTTCATGTCAAGTTGACTCACACTGAAACAGTTTTTGATTCATTTCAACAAATGGAAATGAAAGTGTTTTATTCAGGGATGTTGAAATTCTTTGTTATGATCAAAGATATCAAAATTAGACACTATGTTATATCTCTATCTGTTTTTTACTTAGCTTTTTGTTTTGCAGAAGAATTTTTTATTTCAACATTTTTCCTGAGCTAGGACAATAACATTTCAAAGAAATAGTTTTGCATAGGACAAAAACATTGATCTTCACTCAGTTCCAGCATTACATAAGGTAGTTTTCAATTAAAATTCGTAATATTCTTGCCGAGCAGATTTTCTTTTATTTAAAATAGTTTAAATAAAACTATTTTAAATAAAAGAATTTTATACTAGTGTTGATTTATACTAGTGTTGACTCAAAATTATTAGTCTCTAATCATGCAGCTGGATCCACGTGAGTGGACCTGTATGCTAACAGAGTGCCCGTTGCCTTGGTTAATCATGTCTTTAAGTAGTGACCTGGCACACATTCAATTAATGGTATTATAACATGAGGAATAATATGTGTTATAATTTTATGGCTGGTTCCTAGCACACCTTTAATTGAACATGTAGCCAGTGTCCCCAGCCTCCAGAGCACACCAGAGAGAGCCCTTCAAGACTCCTATGTGTTCCAGAGGCTGGGAGTGCTGGTCAGCTGATGGGGCTGTCAGGCAGGGGAATGCAGGGAGCCAAGTGCAGGGAGAGCCCGGGATCATGATCCTGGGTTCCCCCTGCATCAGCAATATGGTATGATGGGATCTGATAATCAGTCTCACAGTTGTACCTCCTGCCATGCACATATGGCATGTCAAGAAATGCAATTGTTGAGATCCCACATGAGATCTCAACACACCTTTAATTTAACATCTATCAGGGGCCTAAGTTTGTCAGTAAGTCTTGGATCCTGCAACTTTATGTGGTGGAAGCCTATGCCCAGATGGGGCCCACATGTTTGGAACAACTTGTTGAGTCAGGGCCTTATACTGGAATGCCCTGCTCCCAGTTTGTACACCATTTGTTGGAGCATAAGTTTGGATTTAACTACAGATGCTGTACATTTATCTTATTTATAGAAGGGCCGCTCCTATTTCATTCAGATTTATTCAGATCTTCTCCCTATTCACAGTATAATGGGAAATAAGTGAACCCTGACTGCATGAAATGGAGGATTATTTAGAAGCTATACAGTGTGTTTCTTCAACATTGCAAGATACTCTCTGACAGTTTTCTGAGCCAAGTGCCCTCTCAGGACTAATATTTATTACTAACCCCCAGCATTCACAATCCATGCATTACTCCTCTGAAATTACATTATTTTTAAAAATCTTGTGATTATCATAGGCAATCAAGTTTGGTTATTTTTATTTGCTCTCTGACTTTTTAGCCTTTAAGGTTTACATTATTCACATATTTGGTCTGGTTTGAAGTCACAGCCATACTGCCAGTGGACAACTACTGCCCTTATTATTGTTGACCACACTGGGGAAAGATCAGAAGCAAGAGAAGCAGAATAACTCAAGGTGAAAATCCTTGTGATTTGTCCAGGACTGCAGTAGCTGCCAAACTTCTACCAATTTCTACCCTTTTACGAATACAGACCTTCCTCACCAAGTATGTCTGTGGGAGAGTTTTGCAGATCTGCAATTTAAAACACATATAGTTATTCTCACTCTGTACTGGGAACTAGAATTAAGCATTTTTGGTTAACAGAAGGAGCCACTTGTCAGCATTCCAGGCTGAAAAAGCGATTGAAAAAATATGATAAGGCTACGGGAAGAAGCAGAAAAAATCCTTCTCATTTAGGCCTTAAAACTGGTAGCACAAGCATTCTGTTTGATTATTATACTTTGTTCTTTGCTTCATACTACTGCTGATCTTGGGGCCCCGAGGAAATGAGACACTGCAGCTGTGTGGTATCTTGAATAAGTAAACAGAATCTCTCCTGGGTAAGGTGGAGGCAGGGGAGCATATTTTCAATGGTATTTAGGTACCTAAAGATGCAGTTAGGCTCTTAGTGAGGTTTTCAAAAGTACATATGGACTTAAATTGCTTAAGCACTTTTGGAAAACACCCCTAGGCACCTATCTGCATCATTAGGTGCCTAAACACTTTGGAAAATTTGTCCCAGAGGCAGAGAAATCTTTTACTTATTAATTCTGTTAGTTTTTTCCATTTTAGTTCAGTGTATATTAAACCTTTGGGCTTAATAAATATTGTTCAAGGAGGTTTCGTAGAAGTGGTTTACATCTGAGTTAAGTGAGAGTGGCATTTATTCGGAGCTGAATTTACAACATCAACTGCAAACTCAGTAACACTGTTCCTTCATGGTTTAATGACATATAAAGGCAACTTCGTAAATTTATTTTTGTCTTGTTTTCATTTTTGAAACAATGCTCCTCCTAGTCTCCTCCTCCCTGCTCCCTCCCTCCCCCCACACAAAGCTGGGGTTATTCCAGCTAAAGATTATACTAGGAATCGTAAAATTTGGCAGTTGTAGAAGAAAGGCAGCATTAGAAGAAGCTCAAACCTGATCTGCAGCTTTTGCAATCCCCAACTGAATGCTAGATTGTAATTCTGCCCCTGCAGGTCTATAGAAAAACTGAAGAGAAAATGTGCAAGGAAACCATCTTTACTTGGTCTGTGAAGGCATCCATTCCCTGTACACAGATTATTTGTTCTTGCTCCTTTCAGGGAGCAAATCACCTGAAAAATGTAGAAGAACAGGGCAAAGCCATAACCATGGTACCTTTTTACTGGCAGAGGAAATTCAGTATGCTGCAATGCAAGATGCACCAGCTCTATGCATGGAAGAGACTAAGAGCATGCATTCACTAGGTATATGCAGCAGCCAGTGGAGAGTTTGTGCCTGAGGTACAGCCTGTCCCTGCATCCAAGCTGATGCAGGAGGGCTCCTGACATCTGTTCAAGCAATATGCGCAATGTAGTCCTAAACACAAGAGGAGCTCGTGGACAGCAGAGAGACTGAGGGCTGCAGTTCAGGATTACCACGCCTGAGAGGTTGTAGCCCCAAACTTCCAAAGACTGACAGAATCTTTTAAGAAATCCGAATCTGTGTTTTACATTACATCAATCAGGAAAGCAGCTTTTTTAAAAAACAAAACAAAATATGGGTTACAGAAAATAGTTATTTTTGTTACTTTGTGAAAGTATAACACATTTAAAACAGTCTTTCTTGATGACTTCAGAAAACCACAAGAATTCTAGACAGAATTTAAGGTCGTAAGCCCTTTTCTCTCTTAAAAAAGTTTCCACTGCTAAGTAATTCAATAGATGTATTTTCTTTCAGTGTTGTATACGCTGAGCAGTTTGGTTAATAATTAAGGTGCCAAAACAGTTTTAAATGTCAGCTGTGTGTTCACAATTGCGTAAACTGTTTGCTCCCTCAGGGCCCTCATATGGTAACGGAAGAGCTGCACTCCATCAGCTTTGAAACTCAAGTCTGTCTATATGGATTAACCATAGATTTGGAAGTGAGTTTTTTGTTTTTTTATTTTATTTCATTTTTTTATTTCAAACCAAGACAATATCTGTTGCTTGTAAAATTTCCACAGTTTATGGATAGAAGATACCTTTTTTACATCTTTAGTTCAAAAACACAAATACTTATTTTTGTTTTAATTCTGATTTGCTAGGTACACTTTACCTAGGGATCGCATAGATACATCTTGTTCAGCAGAGAAATCAATGGCAGCTGAACTGAGCAATAAAGTCAATGGCAGTTTCCTCTGATTTCAGTAGAAGCAGATTGGGATCCTCCAAACAGCACCAAAGCACACAAAAGCTTTAGGTGCATATGATGCACTATGCCTATAGATACTACTGAACTTCAACATTCACTGGGTTCCTGAGAAAGTATTTACTGGAACACAGATGAAAAATAAGCCAATGTCAATACCTCACTAGATCTGTTTCAGGAATACAGGGAAAGGAAGAGCTAATGATAAGATTATTACAATGTTTTTAATATTAGTTATATTATTTTATTTGTTATAACTAATACATGCTCCAGCAATTACCATGTTTGCCACATTTTGCAACTCACATTCTTTATTTCTCCTTTTCACCAGACAAGCTCTTTGCCCGTGGTGATGATTTCCAATGTCAGTCAGTTACCTAATGCTTGGGCTTCTATTATTTGGTATAACTTGTCAACAAATGATCCTCAGGTAAGTCTTTAAATCCAAAACACGACCTTCCTATACCTTTCCAATCTCCATTATCCACTTAGAAAACACATCCATTGAGGGAAAAAAGCGTTTTTTTTCATTATTTCTGATACTTCTAGGAAAAATTAGCCATGTTTTCCATACATACCTTGTAAGTTATCCATAGTCACATGTATAATAAAACCAAGTTTACATGGGGGATTGGCTGGCTCTTTGGATCATGATAGAATGCCCTTTTCTCTTCAGATGATAGTTCATATGTGACTTTGGTCAATACTGATTTGAAACTGTCACCATTTTCTTCCTATATTTTGGTTTGTGTGAAGTGACTTAATAGTAGTGTCTGATCAGTTCATAGGGGGCAAGTCACTAATGGCACTAAAAATTTGTCTTGGTAAAGAGGGCAGTGCTGGAATGGGCTTGTAGATTTAAGTACCCTTTTATTCACTCAGTATGGTTTCCCTAAAAGTTGGGCAGAAAGTGGAAGGTTGTATATGGAAATCTTACAGTCCTGCATCTATCAGAAACAGATTTCTTGCCCTTGCTATTCTGATTGGAAACAGTTCCAGACACTCACAGCACAGACAGTTAAAAAGCTCCCACGTTCCGTGGCCAATTTATACCTTTTTGTTTTGGTGTCAGCACTACTATTAACATACAAAGTTATTTTTCTTTCATAGTTATAAGTAAGGCCATATCCAAGGTTTAGGTTCTTTGTTTTTAACCCACACATGCTGCTTAACAAAAAGTCTTATGAAAATAGTCATTAGTGGGTGCATCTACACAAGATGCTTTACTGCACATTAAAGCTAATTACTGCACAGTAAGCATCCATGTATAGGCCTGCAAATGCAAGAACAAATTTACTCAAGATTAGTAACTTCAGAGTAGTACGTGCACGTGCTCCTGGTAGGCCAGGCAGCAGGGGTGGGAGATTGCTCCCTGCCCCTGGAAGCTGCCTGGTGCCAGGGCAGACTCCACCACTGGAGCCCAGGCAGGGACAATGTTCCTCTGCCCAGGCAGCAAGGATTTCCAGGAGACAGCTGTCTCCTGGTCCCTGGGCGAACACCCAGGGGAGCCTAGTGCTCCCCCTGGCTGCTGCAGAGATCAGTTGCAGGGCCACAGGGAGTAGAAGCAGCAAATCTGCTCCCACTCATCCCTGTATGTGTAGACATGTGCCTAGGAGTGTTTACTCTCGAGTAGTTTACTTGAGAATAAACTGCTCCCAGATCTTTTGCACATGTAGATGCGCCCAGTATGTTCTAGATCAGTGGTGCTCAAGCTTTTAGCCCTGTGAGTGGTACAGGGCCAATTCATAGGCCAGATCAAGCTTCACATGCTGAGGTTGGACCCTGTGCTGCCTCTGTCCAGCCCCGGATGCCCAGATAGGGCTCCATCCGTCATCATATGGCCCCTGCTTCCCGAAATCAGGCTCTGTACTGCCCTATATGCCCAATCTAGTGCACAGGGCCCAGGGCTCCCCATGGGTCCAAAGCAGGGGCACTGCTCCCCTGCTGCCAATTTTTCAAACCCATGCGGAGCCCCGCAAGCTGGATGACATGATGCTGGGAGCCAGATCTGGCCTAGAGGCCAGGGGTTCTAGGCATATGCTTAATGGAATCAATTTTAAAACAAAACAACCCCCCCCCCAATATTAGCCAAAGAATTCAACATTATAAACAATATAAAGCATCTAAAAGGTTAGTTACTACAGCTGGCATACTTAAATTTTGTTTATTCCAAATTAAATATTGCCTTGCAAGAACATCTGCACTTAGTGGTTAGCTTTTCAGCTGAGTTATCTTAAGTCTCAGAAAATGGTGCTTTTAAAGTACATCTGAATTTCTTTTGCAGTCTGGGGCTTCCATTATTTCACAGAGCGACTCACAATGTATAAACAAAGCATTAATTCTATTTCAGAACTTGTCTTTCTTTAACAATCCCCCTGCTGCCACTTTGAGTCAGCTCCTGGAAGTACTAAGCTGGCAGTTTTCATCATATGTTGGTCGTGGACTTAATTCTGAGCAGCTCAGTATGCTGGCAGAGAAACTGATGGGTAAGAAACCAGGAAACTATGAAAGCCATTCTCTTTCCATTTTCCTCTAAATATTAAACCTGACAGGCTAAGCTCTGTCCATGTGCAAGTTAGAAGTCAAAAACTGAGTCTGAAATGTCCCTCAGGTCCCCAACTGTTAAGCTAATTCTAATTCAGGTTGTAAATACATACATTGAGCTTCAGCAATCAGTAGTCACAGGTGACCATTTTTCCATGAAACTTCTACTTTCCAGCATTTAGCTTATCAGTGTCAACATGTATTAAAATATTTTGAAGACAATAATACACATCAACTTATTCATGATCAACAGTTCATAGAGAGCTCATAAACTTTTAAACTACTAACATAAATTAAAGGGAGTCAGAGTTGCATTAAACCCCAGCTAACTTTCTTAACAAATCTGTTAGGACATAAAGAAAAAAAGAAACCTAGTTTTTGTAGTTTAAAAAAAAAACCAAGATTCTTTTCAATTCTGGGCCCTTGTTTCCTGAGTGTAGAGTGGAGTCACTCCTGCTATGCTGATGGAGCACCTGTGTAGACAGGAAGTGGTAGGGTTGTACAGATAATAGCAAACCTTTAAGTGGCAGGAGAGAGAAGCAAATATCTGCCTGCCTGTTCTTCAGAAGAGTACAGGCTCTGAACAAAGCTGATAGAGTTAGAGAACTCGTTTTTTCTGTACATAAGTGGAGATAGTTAAGATGTTGACAAATCACAGGGGTTCTTTGGCTAAATTCTTCTGGAAGCTGTGAGAGTGAGGAGATTTCTAAGGCTTAAAAAGGTGTAACCATATAATTAAAGCTGGAAATTAGTTGCTGAGTATAAAGGAAATCTGGAGCTAGAACAAGGAGATACTCATCAGTAGATTAATAATAATAAAAAGATTCAGTTAGCATGGTTAAGGCATGGTTAGCCAACAGTACATAAACAAATGCTGCGGCCAGCATTGTATCTGACAACTAAAGATGTGTGAAGCAGGCCCTATTCAATATGGATTCGGATTTGGATTCTGCCCGAATCAGAGACAGTGATCGATTCATTGATTCGGATCACTGTTCCTGATTCGATTCGGCCAAATCTGAAGATTCAATGCTGATTTGGAGAATCAGTGATTTGGGCATAGACACAGCTTTAAAAGTTTTTTCTACATACCTTGAGGTAGCAGGCACGGCTCATGATCGCTGCGATGCTGGGGCACATGGAGCATCCCACAGGAGAGCGGGGGGGCCCTCCATGTGCTTGGCAGCGAACCTGGAAGTGGACAGGAAATACTTCCAGTCCACTTCCAGGTCTGCCTGGGAGCATGCTGGGGAGCCTCCCCAGCTCGCTGATCAGCCACAGGGGGAGCCCGGGTGTCCCCCTCACCTCCCCCCCGACCCAGGAGGCACCAGTCACCGAGCCAGGGTGCCCCCCCCCAGCGCTCTCCCTGACAGACCCAGAAGTGGACTGGAAGTGATTCTGGTCCACTTCTGGGTCTGCTGCTGAGTGCACTAAGAAACCCCCGCACCCCTGTGGGACGCTCCATTCACCCCACCAGCACAACATTCATGAGCCGCCTGATACCTTGAGGTATGCAGAAAAAACATTTAAAGTTGCGTCTGTGTCTGAACCGCCAAATCTTTCTGAATCTCTCCGAATCGATTTGGAGGGTTCCGATTTGATTTGGAAAGATTAAAGGGTCCTCTGATACAATTCAGATTTGGAGATTCGGCTACCAAATCGGGTCAAATCTCTGCTGAATTGAATCGGGGACCGAAGCTTATCACAGCCCTGCTGACCACCTTTGACTCCCACCATGAATGCCCAGGTACTCATCCACAGCTCAGTCAAGTAAGGGTAACCTATCGCATGAGCTCAGAGCAGGGCTTGAATGCATGCCTCCATAGTTATAGCAATATGCCTTAACTGCCCCGGCATAGAACTTTATTTCTTAGCATTAATCAAGACGTAAATTCGTAAGGACATATGTATCAGAAAAAAAACTACTACAAATTTGAACAGAAAAGCTCAAGACAGGAGGAAACTGATGAGATTTGGACATAAGGGACATGATTTATATGGCAGTGTAGAACAGAAGTCCAAAATTTTTTAAGGTGTAGTTAGGATGATCAAACTGCTGTCATGTATAATGCAAATGTTTTTATATTGATGCATAACAAACACATTGATTTCAGGAACTTTGTACAAATTGACTCACATTTCTTTTTAAATTTTAGGGCAACAAACTAGTTACAGTGATTATCAACTGTCCTGGGGAAAGTTCTGCAAGGTATGGTTGTGAAAAGAAAATTAAAGTGCTCTTTAAGTGCTTGAATGAAGGTCTGATCCTACCTAATTAATCTCAGGCTCCTAACAGACATTAAAATAATCACAAGATTAGGATCCGAGGAATTTTATGCGCAATCCCCAAAATCATGCAATCTGTCATGCCAGTCATGCATGGCAGGACACATGATCTTAGGGGTTGGGCAGTTCCTCAGATCCAAATCATGAGACTGATGGCATACAGGGATCTCAGCATTCTGGTTGGGGAGCCCCTTCCCAACATGTTCTGGTGGCTGATACCCAAGATCAGGCAAGAGACAGCCCAGAGTTCTCAACTGGGGTGCAGGGCTGCCTCCTACCCAATCCCAAAGGCAGCGCTCCCTATGTCCCTGCATATTTCCAGCCTTGCTGTGCAGCCTGCATGCAGGGTAGAGGGCACAGCATTTGAAACTGTTGGGGTGGGAGAGTCCATCACCTCTCCCTGTGTCCAGCACATTTCCTGTCTTGCCCTGCAGCTCACGTGTAGGTACAAAGCAAGGCATATAAAAGTACCAGATGCAGGGGAACTGATGGGCTCCACTTCACACCCAGTATGTTTCTTGCCTTGCTTTGTAGCTCATATGTGAGGTGAAGGACAAGGCTTTTAATAGTGCAGAGCACTGGGGAGTCCATCTGCTTCCCATGTGCCTGGCACATTTCCTGTCTTGCCCTGCACCCCACGTCTTGTCAAGTCATGGCAAGGCAGACCATGCCACATGTTCACATTAAAATGCTAGACAAACCAGCCACGAAGATGCTTCACACTAAATCCTTATGGCTAGTTTGCAACTTTATGTCATCATAAATTAGTTGAATATGTGGCATGTTGCCATTAATCACGTAATAAATATAACATCTGTCCCAGTAACAAAGGCCTGATATCACAATGGGTTGCCCTTATCAGGATTTCCAGGCCCAGGATTCTTACATTAATTCTTAAATATTACTTGATGGAAAGAACAAATGGAGTTTCTTAAAGTAAAAAGGCTGGGTGAGATGAGTTTGTATTCTAAACCAGGGTTGATGCTAGAGGTGCACCGATATATTGGTCCAAATCACATCTGCACCAATAAAAGGAAAATTGACATTATCAGCAATAAGCTTTTTTTGGCTGATGTGGCCAGTAATGTTGCCAGTAAATGCCACGTGCATCTGCAGCCTGCACACAGCCAGCCCAGCAGCTTGCAGAGCAGCATCCAGGTGGTAAGTCTCTTGGGGGGAAACGGGGAGGGGACGG